CTGAGGATCAGCAGCAGCCTCGTGGTTCTGCACCTGGAGAACACCTCCCTGTCCGGGAGACCCCTCATGCTGCTCGGTCAGACCCCAAAATTCCCCAAATTCCCAAATCCTGGAGGTGTGGGGGGCGGGAGAACACCTCCCTGTCCGGGAGACCCCTCATGCTGCTCGGTCAGACCCCAAAATTCCCAAATCCTGAAGGTGTGGGGGGCGGGAGAACACCTCCCTGTCCGGGAGACCCCTCATGCTGCTCGGTCAGACCCCAGAATTCCCCAAATTCCCAAATCCTGGAGGTGTAGGGGGCGGGAGAACACCTGGAGAACACCTCCCTGTCCGGGAGACCCCTCATGCTGCTCGGTCAGATCCCAAAATTCCCCAAATTCCCAAATCCTGGAGGTGTGGGGGGCGGGAGAACACCTGGGGAACACCTGGAGAACACCTCCCTGTCCGGGAGACCCCTCATGCTGCTCGGTCAGATCCCAAAAATTCCCAAATCCTGGAGCCTGTGGTTATTCCCGCGGTTATTCCCGGTTTCCCCATTCCCACATTCCCGGTTTTCCCGTTGCAGCCACGGCTCTGAAGATGAGTGTGACACTCTGGGAGCTGTACCTGGCCCCATTCCCGGTTTTCCCGCGGTTATTCTCGGTCCCATTCCCGGTCTTCCCGTTGCAGCCACGGCTCTGAAGATGAACGTGACGCTGTGGGAGCTGTACCTGGCCCCGCTCCCGGTTTCCCCGCGGTTATTCCCGGTTATTCCCGGTCCCATTCCAGGTTTTCCCGTTGCAGCCACGGCTCTGAAGATGAACGTGACGCTGCGGGAGCTGTACCTGGCCCCGTCCCCATTTCCCCACAGCTGTTCCCGGTTTCCCTGTGGTTATTCCCGGTCCCATTCCCGGTTTCCCCGCGGTTATTCCCGGTTATTCCCGGTCCCATTCCCGGTTTTCCCGTTGCAGCCACGGCTCTGAAGATGAACGTGACGCTGCGGGAGCTGTACCTGGCCGATAACAAACTCAACGGGCTGCAGGA